GATGCCAGAACCAAAGATCCCTAAGGGCAAAAGCTGGTCTGAATTATTGCATCAGTCCCCATAATACTCAGCAGTGCTGTAAACATTCTGGCATCCAGATTTTCACAAAGTGAGTTTCAAAATGGAAAGCCTTTTCATTGAAAGCTTAAAAAAATGAAGGAGAAGCTTTCTCTAATTTCCCCTCCTTTGTTTATTCAAAAGGTTGTATGTAAAGCACCTGTTCTTTCCTATTACATCTTCAACACCTCTTAACTTAGCACCAACTCCAAGTCTCCTTTACTTGGAGATTATTATTATTATTATTATTTTTTGGTACCAGGGATTGAATTTGGGACCTTTTGATTGCAAGGCAGGAGCCAGAACCACTGAGCTAAATCCCTGGCCCACTTGCAGATTATTTTTTTCTCAGATAGTGATAAAGATATTTAGTCAGAACAGCAAAGAGCAGTTGCTTTGGAAAGATGTGGACTGAATGTCGATAGATAGAAGATGAACATTGGGGAATATATCTCTCTTCTGGAAGCAGGGAGAGTGGAAAGCAGACAATGTAGAAATGAAACATATCACCTAAGAGCTCAAAAATTAGTACCAAAGAAAACAGTGATATTTAACTTGGAGAAAAGTTCAGCTAACACAATGGAAGAGAAACAGTCTTAAACACAAATATTTAAGAAGTCAGTGAAGCTGAGGAAGTTTTCCTGTTGAACAAGACTTGGATGAAAGTATTGGATGGAGAGAAAGTTAATAGATAGCAATGTAGTCTGACATTTGAGAAGTATGACAAGCTAAAGGGGCAGGATTATTCATGGCTTATAGGGAAAAATTATTCAAAATTGAAGGGGATATGGGAAAAGAAATATGAGAGCTTGGCAAAAACAGTGTTGGTATCTCATTCTTCCAAGGTCTTTTTGTTATTTAACATCTTAAAGCTTTAGAATTTTCATTTAGTAATACTGACTAGTCCTTATATATTGAGAAATTTTTTGACCAAAACCAAAGTAGAGTCTGTTCTTTTGCTAATTCACAAATTAATTAATGGTTTTTAAAAGTCCATGAGTAATAAGTTTCTTCAACCTTTTACATTTTCTTCTCAGATAGCAGTATGTTACAAGTAGATCTGCTGATGAGATTTCTCTACTTGAGTTATTTCAAAGAGCAGAAGTGGAGGCCTACTGTATATTGGGAGGGTGGTTAGAAGAGAGGTTGTTCACAGTAAATCTTGATAGACATGCTGGTCATTGCTTCTCTTTTGAGAGGTGACCTGCTTTCCTTTTCTAGATCTGGGATGTGAGGTAGAGATTAAATCCAATTATAACTTTTATTTATAGCTTAGGGGCACCAAAAGCGGGCTTTTCTCCTTAATGGAATCTTTACAAAGTAACAAGTATATATAAATTCTCCTGACAGGCATGACACAAACTACAGAACCTCTCTTGATTTTATTCCTTCTATATACATTTTCTCTGGGAAGAAAATGGTCTAGTCTTTGTTGTGCCATCCTCAGGGCAGTTTATAAAGGCATTCTGTTCAATATGAAAAAAATCATTGTGATATATAAATAAATGTTCAAGATATGCTTGGCTTACAAGATTGTCCGAAAGTCCTTTCTCTAACCCCTCAGCTAAGTGTGGTATTTTTCTTACATGAAGATGATAACACAAACCCAACATCAGCAGGATTTGAACTTTTGAGTTATTTTCCCATTAGAAGTGGCACAAAAAGAAAGCTATGACTTGTGTCTGAGAATAAAATTTGAAAGGAAGTATTCCATTGAAGATATTTACATTCTAGGGCCTGGGATTTAGCTCAGTGGTTCAGCAGCATGCCTCACAAGCACAAGGGCCCGAGTTTGATCCCCGGCAGTCCCCCCCCAAAAAGGAGAGAAAGAAGATATTTACATTCTTATGGAAGGAAGGACTAAAATCTTATTTGGAGGTTTTTGTTTTTTTTGAAGTGTAGATTACTTTTAAGATCACTGGAGATAGTTTTTTTATACCTGTCCATGTAAGGCAATGCCTGGGCTGCAGACCAGTACTAGTCAGTGGCAGGTTAGGAACCAGGCTGCACAGCAGGAGGTGAGCAGTGGTTGAAAGAAGCTTCATTTTTCTACAGTGCTCCTCATCGCTCACATCACCGGAGCTCCACCTCCTGTCAGATTGGTGGTGGCATTAGACTCTCATAGGAGCACAAACCCTACTGCAAACTGCACATGCAAAAGATCTAGGCTGCAAGCTCTTTATAAGAATCTAATCTGACAAAAAAAAAAGAATCTAATCTGAACACTGCCCCCTTACTCCCCACCTTGTCCCTGGAAAATCATCTTCCATGAAATTTTTCCCTTTTCCCAAAAGGTTGGGAACCACTGACATAAGGTTTAAATGGTAAAATGTGCTGTCATGGAAGTTTTGTTGTGCAGAATCAAAAGGTATATGTAAAATCAGAGCTGCAGAGGCATTAGATACATTTGTAACTTGGATTTATTCCAAAGCAAAATATCTCAGAGTTACTAATATGTGAGGTATTTATCAGAAGAGATGTTACTTCTTTTTTTTTTTTTGGTACCAGGGATTGAACACAGGACCCTGTGCTTGTGAGGCAGGTGGTGGCACCACTGAGCTAACCTCCAGCCGAAGAAGTTACTTCTTGAATTGCCTCCAAATGTGCATTTGAGAACAATTAAATACTTGATAATTGAAGTAGTCAGGCACATATTATGTGTTAACTATCTTTTTTATTTTTTTATTTTTTATTTTTTGGTACTGGGGATTGAACTTGGGTCCTTCTTGCGCTTGCCAGGCAGGCGGCAGAACCACTGAGCTAAATCTCTGGCCCTGTGTTAACTATCTTAATGACCTACATTGTCTACTAAGCAATAAATTTATGGGAAAATAAATTGGTGGGTACTTTAGCTGAGTAGTCATGGACATTTAAACAGAGATTTAAATTAAAAAAACAGCAAATCATTTATAGATGCAGGAAGACACTTTCAGGTAAGGTATGTGCAAAGCCATCAAAGCAGGAATGAAGCTAGGTATGGTGGTAAATGCCTGTAATCCCAGCCCCCTGGGAAGCTGAGGCAGAAAGATCCTCAAGTTTAAGCTCACCCTAAGCAATTTAGTGACTTAGCAAGACCCTGTCTCAAAATAAAAAATAAAAATGGGCTAGCAATGTAGCTCAATGCAAAGACCCTGGGTTCAATCTGCAGTACTGGGATAAAAAAGAAAAGAGAATGAGATCAGCCTCATAGAGGACCAAATAAAGGTCAATGAGGGTGGAGTGAAGGGGTATGGGGTAGAGTTGTTCCGAAAATCTCAGAAAGAAATACATGGAGACACAGAATTCAGGTAAAATAATAAAAGTTCTACTTGCAAGCAGGCGGGACCACCAGAAACTGGTCTGGTCAGTATCCATGTGCCCCTTTGTTCAGCATTTCCTTTTTACATCCTTTTTAGACATTATCTCATCCCTAGTGGTCTTTGATGTGTAAATACAATTCCAATTCCTATTTACAAGTCACAGACACAAGATAAGCACATATGCAATGTAAATTCACCCAGGCATTGCAACTTTGTTAGGTTAATGAAGTTACTGGTTAAAGAGTCAGATAAGCGTCACCTTAAAGTCACCTTAAACAACAAGAATTAGGCAAAAGCAAATCTTATAGGAACACATTACTTATTTTGCTTCTATAACTATCTTAATATTCAATCTACTAAGTTATCTAAAACTTTTCCCTATCAGAGTAGTAGAATAAGAAAGGGATCAGGATGCAGATACTGTAACACTTTATAAATCAGTGTGAGGATTTGGATTCAGTATGTAATAAGACGAGAGGCCATTAGTGAATTTTACAGGGAAAACATTCTCGCTGGCAGAGAAGATGGGGTGGGGATTGAGGGGTAGAAATCAAATAGACTGAGGCAGTTGATGAGGACTGTGGTGTGGTGATGGGGAGGCTAAAGAATGGGTGAATTCAGGAGCAGTTAAGGGAAAGAGGTTATGAGGAAGGAAGAAGTCAAATAGTTAAGCAGGCGGGGTAAGACTTTAGGTCTAAGTGGGAGAACATTGCTTCTACCAGAAGCTTCATTTACATTCGGACTGGAAGGACCGAACCTTTCTAAAAACACAATGTCTTCATTAGTCATTGAGGTACTGGATCACCACTGGCTTCTGATGTCTTGAGATATTTCCACAATTAGGGAATTCATTTTTTACCCCTTTATTTTCTTTTCTGGGCAGGCTTCTTGCGTACCAGAGGTGATGAGTAAGAGGAGGTCTGTGGATGATTTATTTGCCCTGGTCTCAGGACCTGGGCAGCCTCAAAGTTCAAAGGGGAGGGTCCAGGAGAATTAGTGTTTATTGTGTTAGGAGCCAGGAGTTTTGTATACCCAATCTCTCACTTCACCCTTCTAATAACTTGTGGGGTACTTCTATTAACTCACGGTTTTAGAAAATAAAAAGCAAAGTCTCCAGGAGGTTCTTTATTTTGTTCTAAGTCATACAGCCTGTAAGTGGTGGAGCCAGGCCAGGAACCAGGGTCAGGTTCTCTGCACTCCCCACTCTGCACCAAATCTGGCTCAATGTTTTTTCCTCTCTCCTTTTTCTTTATAACCACACAGCTTCCACCAAAGAACCCATCTTGGGGAGAGCACGATTTCCTTTTCTCTCCTGTGCTATTTCGGTCTCCTGGGCCCCAGAGTACCTAGTACAGTGTACTCTGCTGGGAGGCGGAGTTCCCTTCTTAGATGGGGCTCTTCGGGTTGGCTGAGGGGGGCAAGCGGATAGAGCCACGCTGCTGGGCGAGGGGAAGAGATTGCTCTGCCAGTGCATTGCCCCGAAGGCATTTTCCATTTCCTGGGCCCCTTCCGCTCCCCAGGCCTCACCTCTCGCCCCACAGCTTCAGCTCAGGCCCCTCCGGGAGCGTGCTTCGCCGCGGGCTGACAGCGTTGAGGGCACGGGGTCTCCTCTCCGCGCTCTCGCCCATCTGTGCGCAGAGCCTCGTTTCCGGGGGCCTGGAGCCCGGCGGGCATTGACGTCAAGCGGCGGCGGAGCGCTGCCTACAGACGGCTGACCCGGGCCCTCCTCCACACCTCCTTCCTTCCTCGCCCCCTCCCTCTTTCCTGCACCCGGCTCGGGCTCGCTATAAAAGGCGGGAGAGCGGGGTGCCCCAGCAGCGACGGCTTTCAGCACCATGGAGAGGTCCCGCCTTCGGCTGCTGCCCCTCCTAGGCGCTGCGCTGCTCCTGATGCTACCTCTGCTGGGCGCTGGTGCACAGGACGACGCTGAGCTGCAGCCCCGAGCCCTGGACATCTCCGCCGTGGAGGATACCTCCCACGAGAAGGAGCTGGTCTGTATTCCCCTCACCCCAGAGCCCCTCGGGCTGCCACGCGGTCCCTTGCTTTGCAAGCGTCCCTTCTTCCAGCCTCATTCCCAGGGTCGGAGCACGGGGGGCTGGGCGCAAAGCCCGGGCACCCTATGGCACCCGAAGATAGCCGGGAGCCGCGGGCTCCGGGCTCTGTCGAGCTGCTCAGAGCAGCGCCAGCCTCGGCAGCCCCGGACTCCGAGGTCAGGTCCCGGGACAGCGCCCGCTGAGCTTTGTCTGAGAACATCCCTTTCGCCCACGGCGTCCCACCGCGGAGTGTGGGTCCTGGGCTCCTAACTAGGGCGGGAAGTGATCACCTGGGCTGGGCAGGCAGCCAAGGTGGCAACTTGGGCTCCGGGGCGATGTATTGCAGATTGAAGCGCTGCAGGAAGTCTTGAAGAAGCTCAAGAGTAAACGTATTCCAATCTATGAGAAGAAGTATGGCCAAGTTCCCATGGTAAGACTTTGGTGTCACTCCTTTCCACTGTTAAAAGAAGATGCACTCCTCGTATCGTATACACGACCCTTACCCTAGGATGTGGCCCAGTAACTCAGGTCATGGGCTTGCATTGTTTTCTTGGGGCCCTTTGTTTTCAGGGGCAGTTCTTGCCCCTTGGTCTCTTACAGAAAAGGAGAGGATGAGCTATTTTGGAGGACTGAACAGCTGTGGCAGGAACTAGCTCTATAATCTGTGAAGGAAGGAGTATTTCCTGAGGACAGGCTTTTTGTTTCATCTTAGGAGAAATTTTCTGAGTTGGAAGAGCCCTTGGATCTACTCAGTTCTTGCTCCCTTAACTTATTCCTGTCTTCCAGAGCACAGCCAGTGCTTTTAAAAAAATTAAGTTCTGGGGTCAAAAAATTCATAAGTGGGTCACTTTTCTTGGATAGTTCTGGGTAAAGGACAACATGCACACACACACACACACACACACACACTTCTACCTTCTTGAGCTAGGATGGTGAAGTGGGGAAGCAAGGAACAAAGATTGTGAGAAGAAACATGTATATTGTTTATTTCTTAGGAAAAAAAGGTCTACTTGAAAATTTCCCCTTTGGTAAATAAGAAAAGGAGACAGGAAATGTGATCCCTCAGACAAGTGGAAGAAAAGTCTGTAGAAGGAAACCGAGCATTTAAATTTCTTTGTAAAAGTATCCTCTCACAACAACTCTGAGCACAAGTTTCTCTATGTTTCAAGCCTGACTATACTGAGACCTGTGCTGATGGTGTGGGATCTAATTGTTCCTCTTGAGAGGCAGAGATTGGTTGGCGGGAGACTCACCTGTTGAGTCCCACATGCACTTGCCTGTTGGGACTCTAGTGACCACACATTGTGTTGTTTGCAGTGTGATGCTGGAGAACAATGCGCAGTTCGAAAAGGAGCCAGGATTGGGAAGCTGTGCGACTGCCCCCGAGGAACCTCCTGTAATTCCTTCCTCTTGAAGTGCTTATGAAGGGGCATCCATCCTCCACCACATCCCCCACCCCCTACTTACCTGAGAGAGTCACACCTTCATCTCAGAGTTTGGCTTTAGCAACAAATAAAGTTTGCATTTTCCTCTGAGGATGAAGGGGGCTCTTTCCTTGCTGTTTCAAAAATAAAAGAACACATTTGATGTTACTGTGTGAAGGGTGATGCTATGTATGGTGTTGATATGTGTGTAAAGTATTCTTTTCTTGTTTTGTCTGATGAACTCTTGTGTACCTCTGTGTAAAGAAAATGAAGTTGCTTTGAAAATTGTATTTTTTTACGTGGCATGGCAGAATGAAAATTAGATCTAGTTAAACTTGGTAGATGACATCACAACCTGGAAAATAAATCACCCTAAGTAACATGAATTGAAGCATGTATAAATTATACATAATAAAGTGCTTTTTAATAATTGCCCATAGTGCATTGTCATTTCTACTCAAGTAATTTAGGTAGGAATGATGAGATTAATCATGCTGTTGTTTTCAAAGAGAAATATTTTAAAAATAGCAGTCTATTGGGAGAACAGCACCTTAGTTCCAATGAGTTTTGATCATTAATTAGGAGTCTGCCACACTAGCTTCAGTATACTACGTTTTTCTTTGATTGCAGTAGTGTGGGATGTGTGTGTGTGTGTGTGTGTGTGTGTGAGATGAAGATGTTAGACTTGCGATGATACTATTTTGTTTATTCAAACCTTTAGCTAGACTACTTACTTTAACAGTAAGGCTTGTCCGTATAAAATAACAACTCTGTTTTAAAGAAAATAAGTGGTTTACTCTGAGCCAGATATGAATGATCATGGCCTGGATATATGGATTTCAATTACCTTAAATGACATGCTTCGAAATGGAAGAGAGTATGTGAATTTTTATAGCTACAGACCAAAGAAAGTCATAAATCAACATACAACAGATTGGTGAAAAAATTGGTAAGCAAACTATAGCAAAATGGGGAAATCTTATCTATAAATTTCAGATGGTATAGCACTCTTAGCTTTGCAGTTGGGGGAGGCTAGATGTCTACTAACCTTAACAATATATTCTGAGAGGTTACCTAATAGTCATAAGAATGTTAGCTTGGACACAAAAGTTAAAAAAAAAGTGATTATTTTTCTAAAGACCCTAAGATAGTCCCAGACAATTTGGCTTTGGACATGCAAGATTTCATCTTTCTGGAATTCTAGTGTTCTACTCAACGGAGGTAAAGTAGGTTCTTTAGCATAGATGCAGCTTCTCCCAAGAACTTCAGTATCACAAGATAATAAAAGATGAATTGTTTCAGACTTAGACACAATAGACACATTTTGAAAAATCAAGACTTTGTTTTGGCAATTTCTCTATCGAAATTTTTTTTTTTTGTACTGGGGATCGAACTCAGGACCTTGCAAGGCAGGTGCAGTGCCACTGAGCTAAATCCCTGGCCCTTCTATGACAAATTTTTAATAGACTCTTTGAGGGTTGTTTGCCCAAAGAAAGGAAAGTCACTGTATTAGGTGATTTGCCACCAGTAAAATATACATCCTTGGAAAAATTCTCTGTTCAAGAAAAAGTTATTTAGGTAATGGTTTTGATACAAGACATGTGTGGCAACTTGCTTCAGTGATAATAGCAATTAAACCAGATGCAGCAGAACAGAATTTCAAGCAAAATTTTAATTGAGAAAGGACAGAAAGTAGAAAAGGGGCTTCAGCTTGAGGCAGAGAAGAGCTGAAGGGATCAGGTCTGCTGGAGGAGATCAGACTGGGCCCTTACTGGAAGAGTGGGACTAGCTTTTATGGCTTTGTTGGGCTGGGGTAGGGGCTAGTAACCTCTCCCTGGGCCATGAGTATGCAGTCATGTTTCAGGGGTGTTCCTCCTAGTGTGAAAGATGGCTCAGCGCTCAGCTATTATTCTTGGAGACACCTAGGAGCCCCCTTCTGTTGCAGCATGCCTGATCCTTGCAATAAAGAGTTGGGAATACTGGGAGGGCATATGCTAGGGAGGACAGGGAAAACAAATTATTTCCACCCTTAGTGGGTAAGAGTTAACAGATTAAGACTGAGAATGGAGTCTCCTGTTCCATGAGGACACCAATCATATCTCAGTTTCAAGAGAAACAAGTGAAAATTAGTGGGGGAAAATTTAACTCAAGAATAAAAAAAATTAACCGTTAAGTTTAAGAACTTTGAAATGTTCGAGTGCTCACTCACTATCACATTTCCAAGGGTTTAAACCAGTCTAAGTAACATTTAAGAAGCAGCATCATAAGAGAAAAGCATGCTAACATCTTCCTAATCCAATTCCAAGAGGTACCTGCATAACAGAACTGAAAAATAAACCCCCTCTGAGGATTCATGGGGAAATAGAAAGTGCTGGTAGAAAACATTATCATGTAAAAGCACCATTCACAGTTTTCTTATTGTTACTGTCAGTGTGCCTAATCTTTCTAATCTTGCAAGATAGATGTTACCATTCTTCAGGGTAGGAAACAGAAGTCAAGAGAGATTATGGAATTTGCTGAAATCACACAACTCTAAGTCATGACTTCGGTTTTAATTCCCTTGGCTACCTTTGTCTTTCCCCCTAGGTCTCTGAGGATTCAATAGGCTATGGATTCCTCAGAAAGAACTTCTTTCTCTAATAAAAGTGACCTCCCTGGGGGCCCATGTATATTTTTTGTGGTCACATTTCTATTTGAATTCTTCTATGTCAGGGCTATTTGTGATTAAAATATGGTGCATTTTAATCTTTAAACACTGCTACTTTTCCAGAAATCATTTCAGTTAAAAACTATAATATTCTTGAACAACTTAACCATTTCTATCCATGATAGTCCTAAATAAATCTGATCAGGAAATTGATTTGACCGTTGGTTGCCTTCCGGCAGGACCCTCAGAGATAACATTAGAACTGCTTCTTTTTTAAGCCTGGAATGTTTCCCCAAACCAAGGAATAATGGAGGAATTTATAGCTCAAAGAATGGAATACAAACACATTTACTTTTCCCCCTCATCTCTACCTCTCCTTTCTTTTTTAGTAAGACTAATAGATATAGAAAAGTGGTTATGGGGGATTTATGATGTGGACTGTGTGGGCTAGGTATGAAAAAGCTTTTTACAAAAATTGTGTCTAAGGGCCCTGATTTTAAGTTAGTGATGGAAATAATGTTCTGTACTAATGATGGCAACATTTACTGTGGCTTGTTAGATATAACTTTGCCTTCCTATCATATCAATATTAGATCCACCTTCAATTAGAAGAAATTGGTATGTTTAAAGATTGAAGGTCTCTGTGGTAGGGGAAATGAATGTTAAAGTTTAAAGTTTTCATGAGAAAAGTAGCCACCCACATGTGAAGCCCAGAGACCATCTGTGATTGGCTGAAAGATCAGGTCTCTGAGAGCTGATGACCTGGGGAATATTATAGGGCATAGAAATGATGTACCTAGAGCAGTGGTTCTCACAACTGCCTGGAAAAGGTGTGGAAGTTACGAACTGATGTTTCTCAATGACTCATGATCATTCCTCTTCCCATATTAATTACTTGTATTGCACCCCACATCCTATGCCAGTATCTGGACTTTTGTGAGGTGTAACTGTGTCCCTGTACTCCCTTTCAATCCTAATAAATTTAAATTTGAATATGAGGAGTATAGTTAAGAAAGGTGTTCAGGACTGTATAGGTTAAATAAGATCTTTGGGTGGTTCTGCTAAGCTTTCTGCTCTAGAGCCTCTGAAACCATGAGCTATTTTTTATATAGCTCATCCATTAGTTTGTTCTACAATTTTCTGAGTGCCTTCCATCCAGCAGGTGCTGAGAACATAATGGCAACCAAGACAGACATTGTCTTCATCCTCACAGTGTTTATAATCCAGTGGAGAACCGACACCAAGAACAAACAAATGAAATGTGTAGGTCTTGAGAGAATTTAGGATATTGTAGAGACAAATGGTGATATCTATGCTGAAAACTGAAGGACAAAGAGTCAGTTTTGACAGGCATGGGCAGAGGGAGGGAAAAGAGAGGCAGAGAGCTCCAGGCAGCAGGCGTAGCCCACTCAGAAGTTCAAAGGCAGAAGAGATGTTGGCAAACTTAGGGAGCTGAAAGAAGACCATGGGCTTGAAAATGAATGCTGCGTGGAGGGAGAGGTCCACGTGGCTACCACTGTGTCTCATTCTTCACTGTACACTCATGTGTACAGTGATGCTTTGATCAGATGCCAGAAGGAGTTAGCCAGACATTTATCGATCAGGAACATCTCAAAGGAGAGCAGGACTGATGAGCAGGATGGTTTCCTGCAGTCAAAACTCAGTCTTCTTTTCTCACTGAGGAGTGAGTGAAATGCTGTTTCCTGATTACTGTACATTTATGATTCATTTCCCTTCCTATGCATGAGGGTTTCTACTCTTGAGGGCCTATCAACACAACTTTTTCAGCTTGAGAATAATTTATGTAAATATTTTTTAGCTAATGTTCCCTGATCTCAGGAATCAGAAGAAAAGCAAAGGTCATAAATTTAGAGGAGATAGGAAATGATCAGTGGAGTAGGGCTCTTGGTAGGGATGAGAGGGTGAAACTCAGAGCTAGGAAAATGTTTCATTTTGGACAGCAAGGGGGAACTCACAATGCAAGTACTTTGTAGGTGGGTGGTAGGACATTGGGATTATTATTTTGTGGCTTCTGAAATCTAAGGAAAATAGGATATAAAATTTGCTGAGGAGGAGAGGGAGCAAATATACACAATATAAAAGTTGATCAATGCCAAACCTCTACCACAGAATGACAGACATACCACAATAATGTATGATGCATTAAGCACTAGACCTAGAGAAAGATTAATTTGGAGGGCACCAAGTTGAATTATCAAGGCTTATAGACAAAGTGGTGTTTGAGTATTTTTTGAAAGATGTGTAATATTTCAAAAGGTAAAAGTTAAGGAAAACTCCTTGAAGGTGTAAGAAATAGAATGAATGAAAGTGTGCAGGGGAAGCAAAGATACAGTTAGAAATAATTTGAGAGCTGGCTGGGTCCATAGGTGGAAAAAGGTGGAGGGAGAGACAAGGGTAGGCTAGATCAGGAGGGTGTTGAATGCCAGGGTAAGGGTTCAAGGTTTAATCTTGTGGGATGAGAGCTGGGCTAGAAGAATCTCGATCTAATGGCACACTAAAG